TTTTTTTTTTTTTCAGACAACAGCTGAGATTCACTCCTCGATATTGTTTTAAAATATTCACATATCACAATCGTAGTACCTTCCATAATATGCAGCCCAGTGTAAAGCTGTCCACCCACATTTGTCACGATAGTCCATTGACAACCCAGAGCATGAATACGGGAGAACTGCCCAGGTATAGCCTAGGATCGCACACAAATGAATTACGCCTAAACCTTGTTCATCATGTTCAAAGATTTTGGACCCTGACAATATTTTCTCCAGTAACCATTCTTGAAGCCTATTCTGTAGAGTCAACTCGAACAAGCCATCTTTTGCCTGGAGAAATGGCATTTTAGCTCCTTCAATCACTTTGGCAAAATTGACCCAGCTATGTGATAAGTCTGATGTTCGCTCTGCAAAAGCTTTAGCTTCTTTCACGGTGCTTTGGGATACTTTACTGGAAAATAAACTGAGGCTCTTTGAAGACGAAAATAACAGACGTGCAAGCCTCATCTGAAGTTGAAATTCTTCCCAATTGCATTTATTATCTGCAGTAGTTGTCATCATCCTACTGGGCACTTCTGGTGCACGAACCTCAAAAGTTAAGACTTGGCTGACAGGGTTGTGCCCATCAAAACTGAGATAGAGATTAACTAATCCAGGTTTTTTAGGTGAAATTACACAACGATATACTCCAGTTTGCACAGTTTCAACGAGGACAACTGAGTCCCCACAAGTAAGTTGTAAACTGAAGTCCGTCTGGGGTAGTTGGCCTCCATTGAAAAACCCAACAACTATTACCTGCATTGAATTCAATCAAGTCAAGAATCTGACCTCTATAGTTGCTATATTATCCTCTCCCGTTAATATGTGAAGGAGAGTTTTTTTTACCAGAGATCTAAGTTAAATTAGTATCTGCAATCAAGAACCACATTTTAGTTATAAGGAACAAATAGTAAAAGAAGTTGGCCTTTTCTTTCCTCTCCTAACTGCAGCAGAGGAAGTGACGGCATGAATTTGATGCTGATATGCATGTCCAAAAAATATGTATGCACAAGGCACAGTTTTTTACAAGCGGTAAATAGTAAGGTATTTTTCATTTTCCACATTTCAATTTATTCGCTTTCTCCACCTTAATCAAGAGTGATAATATGAGTTTATTGGCAGAAACTAATAGGTATAAATCACTCATATCTTCCCTTTGACATCATCAAAGGACTGCTATGAAGGCAGTTGAGAACACCGACAGTAATCTGAAGAAAGAGCCTATGGAGACAATATGGAACTTGATCGTTATTGAAGACCAGTAATAGCAAAAGCATTTTTTTCACCTTTGTTTCTTGAGTTGAAAGAGCCCATGAAGGCAGGACGTCAGTTATGTTGAACATCTGGCTCGGAACAGACGAGAGATGATTATCCATCACTGAAGATGTGAAAGATTCATGTCCGGCTGAAATCGAAGGTTCCAGACCTTGGCAATCTACTGGTCGTGAGGAGTCGGCATTTGCATTTGGCATCCACATTCCCAAACTGTCCTGTGATACTAAACCGTCTTTCCCTATATTCTTTAAAGATCTGCATGCAACTAATTCCCCCAGCCTGGAAATAAAATTCTCTGAATTCGCATTTTTTTCGCATGGAGCACTCTGGTAGGATACATTGTTTGCGATATTATAGTCCATACAATAAATCCCAGATGCACCATGTCCTGAGAAACTGTTGCTGGAACTTTTTGGTGATACTTGGTCAGTTACCAGGGGGTCATCCTGTGCTCAAAAAAGATAATTGCTGAGTTTACTCAAAAAGGGAAGTGATGGCTCGTATATTGAAACTTACCTAGTGTACATTTAATCAAGTTTACTATTTTTCTTATGGAAAAATATACAAAATGTGGAATCTGTTATCTATATATATGTATTCCAATCCATCCTTTCACACCTTAACTTAGTGTTTTCTTTTGGAGCGAAGCACAAGGAGTTGGGGAAGTATATTTAATCAATTCGCACGACAACCAATATCTCAATAGACCTCAATAAAACATTAATGGCGCATTGCATGTAATGTTCCTTCCTTTGGATATGATAATGAATCAATAAACTATTCTGTGTTCATGCAATATTATATACTAATTAGCCATGGAAAGGTTCTGACACAGACACGAGATGCACACGCACGCACGTGTTTGTTTGGCAAAATATGTAATGTGCCTTATTTAAACAAATTTACCAATTGTCTATACAGGTGTTTGTTTGTTATGAAATCTAGGGTGGTTATGCTGGTGTTCTATGCCAGACATGATACACTTCATTTTACAGAAACAGACTGAATTGTTAGCCAACTTACAGTAATTATGCAACCGTTCATGAAAAACTGATTCGCGGACTCAAAGCCTGCAGCTTGTCCTGAAGCTGAAATTTTGCATGCATCAAAAGATTTGCTGGGTTGAGCTAGCAGTTCAGTACTACAGTAAACAATCGACATATTAACTATAAATACCTTCTTGAGGAGTAACGGGCTTGTTGGAATTATCTGGCACCAAAAGCTCATCCCACTCAAGTGTATTTATTTCGTGAAGTCTTTGTTCATGTGCTTCTATGTTCACGCTCTCATTATGCTCTGGAATATCACAAAAATAAGACTTCAATTTTAACCATTGTTCAAGCCAATAATTAGTGTCAAACATAATAGCTCTTATTTCTCCAAGATATGCGCACAGTTCAAGATTCAACATCAATGAACATTGCTATTATAGGCCCACTCAAAGAAAAATTTCCTTTTCGTAACACTTAATTTAAATGCTAGAGCAAAGTAAGACAGAAAAATATATGATGAGTCATTACCCCTGTCGTTGACCATAAAATTGGGTTCTTCCGACAAACGCCAAGTGGCAGAAGGGTCTGAGGCAACTGAACTAGAATTAGAGTTTCCAGGTGTGGCTGGGCCCGCTGGTGAACCCTACAGGTATGTCAAACATTACATACGTAATACTTCTTACTGAGTAAGAAGTAAAAATTAATAGCTGCAAAGGGACTAGGTGAATTATGCAACAATATTTGTTCAATTTACAAGTTTGTTAGACCATTAATATTATCCAGATCAAATTAGTGCGCTTATGTCCCGTAGGGTTAAGGTGTTGGGCGTGGGTACGACTCCCCTTCCTTGCAGGGAGGGACAGAAACGTAAAAAGGGTTACAAAAGGGCATAGCTTACAACTGGCCCTGGAACTGGATCACAACATCACAAGTACCCCTACAGAACACAGGAGATTCATTCTGTAATAGCATCGGCTATTGGTCAGGTTGTTCTTGCTGAGCAAAGATCCCTATTATTATATTATATCATCAATAAAATTACATATTTTTTCTTTTCCTGGTTCTTTACTCGTAACAATTGATCCGGCCTGCCTTACGAATGACACAAATTAATTCCTAATTGAAGCCATGGAGAAGGGACAAGAAGAGTCAACTAACTAATGTCAAGGAGGGTATCACCAAAGTTATGGAGTTTGTCACACAGTTTTTGGCAACCAAGAAAAACACTGAAGCACGAGACACCTCCCAACTCGATCAAGTCAACATCCACCTGACTACTAAGCGGACTGAGATGCCATATTTTGATGGAACCAACATGCAAGCAGAGTTATGAGCCCCCACCACATTTATTAGCATAGTGCATAGGAGGGCCTGCCCTTCATTGGATCGATGGGTACAACGGTAGACACCTAGACATACATGGTCAAACAACTCAAAATTGAACCAATCCCCACCAGTCAAGTTGTTGGATTCCCTCCGTCAAGATGGTACGCTGGACGAATAATGTCATAAATTCCAGGACGGGCCACCCATATACCCAGATTAACCTCTAGTATCCAATTAGTGTTGTTTCTAAATGGGCTTAAGGAAGAAATTTGTGTTCATTTTCCCCAAACAATATTGTTGATTTCTTCTCATTGCATGCGAACTCGATTTCCTTCACTATGAAAAATCTCTGGGTCAAATTGCAGGAGGGGAAAAGAGATGGAGTATGGGTTTTGCCAAGGAATCCAGACCATAATTCTATTATTTGGAATTTTTCTTCTCCCCATGCATATTTACCAAATGACCCTAAACCCAACAATTTCATTATAAGCCCCACAATTTCATTCAACCCACTCCAGGAAATATGTCCACCAATTCTTCTCAAATCCCTGAAGGAACTATGAAGCACCTATGCCTCTTCAGCATGATAGCAATCAGGCACTCTTAACAAAAGCACTCTCACATTGGATATTTACGACCTTCGCTTGCCTTTGTTTTTTGTGTAAACAACCATATAGCACTATGAAACAACTATGCCTCTCGCTTGCCTTGCTGCTGAAGATGATAATGAGGCCATTTGCAGATCGCAAAATGGGTCTGAATTTGATGTTGACTAGATCTCGGACATCATAGTTGATAGTTCTATCCGCCTTGAGGACAAGACTATTTCAAAGGGTGGAAAATTGTTACAGACCGTTGATATTATCTAGAATAAATTAGTGGGTTTCAGCCCGTAGGTTAAGGGCAACATTGTCAATTTTATAGGAGTTAGAATTATATTTAAGTGACTCATTTTTTTTCCTCGAAGAGAACTAGAGATTTATTTTGCAATGGCATCGGCTACTGGGCAAGTTATTCTTGCTGGATGAATATCATACTTCCTTCATCCTATTATTATATCGTAAATAAAGATATGTGTTTATTTACCTGATTCTTCACTCCTAACAAAATCAACTTTGTAATAAGAACCACAACTTAATATTATAAGTGCTAACAGGTGAAAGCAAACAGTAATCTGTAAATAAACTGATTACAAGACAAACCTCTTGAGTTTCACGATAATGAACAAGGACAATATTTTCTAAGGACCTGCCAAAGAACAAATGTAGATAAATGAAAGTATTTTGACATGAGAACACAACTTCAATAATAAAGATAAGAAATGTGGCTAAGGTGCATAATTAGCCTAATAAAAATTATAGTTTCATACTTGTCAAGCAGCCAGTAACACCTTCGCACAAAAGTTGGACTGTCTTCTCCATGAGCGTAATATACATGAATCCTTTCCTTATCACCAACCTATGTTGCAACAAGAAATCATTGTTATGTGCACACTGAAAAATCTAATGGATACAGATAGATTTTCGGATTCGGATTCAAGAGCTTTGGTAATGCTATAGTATTCATGCAAAATGTTGAGCTGTAAAAGTTTTTCTTCCACTATAGAAATTAGAAAGTTAGTGACACAAGAAACGCACGAGAGAAAACGCAGAGTTCTTGTACAAGATTATAACAAACCATGAACCAGATAAGAAATTAATCTATATATGCATATATATTAAAAATGATTCTCATCTCTAGACATTCAAGTTGTAACTAGAGCAAAGCTACAATATTTAGAGCAGAAGAAAGCCTTACTTTTAAGTGTTCGTGTGCTTCTTTGACAGTTTTCCCATCTTTTTTCTTTTTCCAGTTATGGCCATCTTTCCGAAAATTGCGCAGCTTCTTACGGTCAAACAACACAATTGTGCCGCCTGTTTCAACGCAACAAATATACTATTCAGCCAACTCAGGCCATAGCATATTTCATAAGCCACTTCAACATAGGCATACATCGCTATAAGCTCCATTATATATTATTTTTATGAACATTCAACTTCAGCTGATTCCAAATGAAAAAGACACGTGCAAGCATACAAGTGTATTACTTTTTGGCAATTTCATGGGTTTGACATGAACAGTGAAATACTTGTGGTTACAGAGTATGGCATGAATCTCGTTGGGTCTGAGCCATCTGGTTTTAGCTTCCTCCGTCATGTTGCCAAAATCCAAATCTGTTATACAGAAAAGGGGGACATTGTTAACAAACGAACGTTTTTTCTTGAAAAGAAAGGTACAGCTGGAAGCATAGTAGTAATGTATCCATTAGCATGAAAACCAATAATCCCACCACCACAAAAGATAACACAAAAAAATGATAGGAAAAAATAAGGAAACATTCTAATTAGCATCACTTCTTTTACTCAGTTTCGTTGCTGGCAAGGTACTGCAACAAGCCAATATCTATAAACTCTTTCATCACTCCTTAATTTTCTTGTACTCAATCAACCATATAACACATTCAAAGCACAGGTTATATGACATCATTGTTTTTATCACAGCCCAAATGCCATCTGTGGTTCCAAGTACAAAAAGGAAGAACCTATCTGTAACTATTAGTTTCCTATGAAAGCTCAATTTTCTAAGTAATTCACAAAAAAACAAAAACAAAAACAAAAACAAAAACTACAAAACCCTCAAAAACCCACAATCCAACAATTGAACCTTCAAACCAAAAGCGTCGTCAGAACAAGAAATAATCTCACAAGGTTCAACAAATCCACATACGACACTGTATAAGTGGTGGTACCTTCCATGGTGCGAAATCCATGGATCTCTGACTCAACGAGTCTACTGCTCGCCATCTCAATGCTTCAGACGATCGTTTCACGCCACAAATCACAGCTAATTCCTGGAATAAAAAGATCGATTTTTTTTCAATAACTACAGAATACATAAATCATTTGCAGAGCCCATGTAAAAAAAAAAAGCATATATCAGTGTAAATACCGTGAATTAAGGGGAAATGAGCGGCTTTAAGAAGCGATGGCCTAATTAGAGACGGGATTGAACAGGAACAAGCGTGCACAAGATCATGATAACATGTTTCAGCTTAAGATAATTTCATGGCGTATTTTGCTGGTCAGAGACTTGACGGGGAGTCTTGTTTTGAAGTTTGGACAATGCATTTTTCCATTGGTGCTGCTTTTTTATTTTTTTATTTATAATTATAATGCAGATGTAGATGAAGAGGAATGCTCACCTACCCAGGCACATGTTAATATGCTCACCGTAGATGTGACATGCACACATTGATGATGTGAATATGTTAAAAAAAATGGATAACCAATGTGTACATGCCACATCCACGGTGGGCATATTAACATGTGTCCACCGTGGGTAGGTGAGCATTACATGTAAAAAATGAGAGAGGAAGACACCTCTCCTCATTATTCCTCCTCCAAACAACCAAAAGAGAGGATTCTCTCCAAAAGTGAAAGGAAAACATCCATTTTTACATATATTTTTTCTTCATCTTTACATAAAAAATTCGACTTGTATTTAACGATTGGTCGTCCAATTTTCGACATCAACATTCCATATTAACCAAACACCAAGGTCCAACAGGGGTCGGAGAGGCAGAGCAACAGACTTCAAGCACCGTGGCCACCATCACTAAGTTGTCCACAAGTCCACGCCACCCTTTCTGCCATGGCCAGCCGCAACAAAAGAGGAAATCCCCGTGGGGGTTGAGATGGCAACCTGTCAAGCAGCAAACGACTGACGCTGGTCCGACCCAGGCCTCGGCCCTCGCCGGAGGTAGGATGAGTGTCGTTAGTAAAGAGGCACATCAAGACACCACCGATTTAGGGTTTTTTTCTTGAAAAGGGGAAAACAGAGAAGAAAGGGCGGAAAAAATCATAGTATCATTTCTGAGTACATCTAAAATACATATATCACTTCCAAATTGTTCAAGCACACTATTACACCTGCAATCATTACAAGATATACATTAATGCATGTATTATCAATAAACCACTTGTATTTGAAAATATACTTCTGACCTAACATAACCACAATATCAATAAATCATTTGTATTTGAAAATATAATTCCGACCTAACATAACCACACAACTCTGAGAAAAATTCCTATTAAAAAGGTTAAATCAAATATCATCTAAGTTTGGATATACAACATGCCTTTTGTTGATGTTCGATATCTATTGAGTGATTAAGGCGTGTTTAAGATAAGTTTATATGTCATCGGCATGAAAAATATAAATTAATTGACAGATGGATAACTTAATGGACACAAAGTAAAGTTGGTCGCTTTTGTAATTTATAGTAATTGGTCCTATCCTTGTTAAAATTTGCTAATTTAGGTTATGTTAAGATTTGCTAATTTATGCTGTGTAAATAAGGTAACAAGGTATGAGTCATCTTATTATGAGCTCAGCAAACGTAGGCTGTTTTATTTGGACATGTGTCATAAATATATTCGCTACAAGCAGAGGGACATGTGGTTTCATCATTTTAAGGGATTTGACGTTTGTTTTTCAAGTTGTAGGTTGGTTACACTTGTACGTTTGATTAATTCGGCGTGAAAAATTCTGCACGTTCATACTTAGATCAATAAAGAATTCAAATGTACTATAAATCGAGGACCTCGGCTATAAATCGAAGACAAGTACTGTTGTTCTTTATCGTGCTGATCTCATAAGTTAATAACAACTTATACACAACACTCTTTAATTTGGTTTGGTTGAAAAAATAACACATTTAATTTATTTTTTTCTCAATCTTACTAGAAAAAATCAATCGTGTTTCTCCTATAAAAGAATAATCATAATTATTTGAAGTAAGAATATAAAACCTAAAATACAACGACCGCCGAAAGATTTTTTTGAGAGCTCCCGCCCAAAAGTCACCTGAAAGTCCACTTCGTATTTAACTGAACGCAACGCAACGCGACGTATAATTAATATACAGATCTTTTTCACATTTTTTCAACTCCCCCTTATAATTAATACAGATTTTGCTCACGCTTCAATCAAATTTGAATATTCTACTGCAAAACCTAACCCTAAACCAGGGCTGCTCGTTGCCGTTTGAGGTGCGGTTTTAGCATGTTCGTTCTCGATTCGCCAAATTTTTCCATTTTGTGGATTCTCGAAGTTTCGCAGAATCATTTTTTTTTTGTGTTTTTTTTTTCGAAGTGCTTCGCAATGAAAGGAAATAGCTCAAAATCTTATTCGAGGAAGGTCGACAGTAGATAAGAGATGTTTCCGTCGAGCCTTTATTTGGTGTAAAATCGTAATTCATTTCTCTCCACCTCTCTTTCTGTGTATGTGCGGTTGTAATCTCTCTCTCTCTCTCTCTCTCTCTCTGTCTCTCTTTCTCTCTCTTTCTCTCTCTCATCGGATGGTGGTGAATCTGCGATAAATGTAAGTTGGTTGTGTTTTTTGAGATGTATTATTATGTGTTGCTGAACTGTTGTTTAGTTAGCTTTAGTTTGGTGAATTTGTTTGTCGTGGTTTAGGTTTAATTGGATAATTATTGCGCCAGATAACCTATCTACATATTTAGATGCCGGATTGTTGTTTTCTAGTTCTGTTCGGTTTCATTATATTGTTTCTATTCTACCATTTTACCATGTAATGTAGAATTAGCTCTGGCTCTGAGAACAAATCAACAATTATTGCATCGAAATATGAGTTTCTATTGAGCTAGATGTTAGTTTGTGACTTTTGTGATCTCTTGTGGCACTTGGTTTTAGATTTGGTTGTTTTAATTCCATGTCTAATGTTTGATTAATCTTATGTTGCAACATATACTTATAGTTTACGAAAATTCCTCTAATATATTGAACATATACTCCATATACACACCACATATACTCCATGTCGTCACCATTTTTTTTTTTTTGGTACGCGCCCGCCATTAATGGCGGACCGAGCTCCAAGCTCGGATTTCCGGCGTCCGACGACACGGGAATCAACAGTTGTTCGCTCCCAGAGCGAGCGTCCATCGTGGAGCTTGGGTCAGGCGACGAGGGCCATCAACAGCCGCGCGACGGGGCTGTCCAGTGGCAGCGGTGCTTAGTCGCGCAAGCCCGGTGGCTAGCCTGACGACAATTGCCGTGATGGTGGACGTCAGATCGGTGATTTTTTACCAACAATATGCGGTAGTTTTGTTTTTGCCATTGAAGGTTTTGTGCTATGGTTTATCGAGATTTAAAACGAAGTGAGAGTAAATGGCAGTTGATGCGGGTGTCGGGGTTACTTCCTTGATATTAGGGATACGTTATCCCAGTTGAATCACAAATAGTTTCCATATTTAAACTACAAAATTAACAAACTAATAATCTAGTAAACATGCAAATAATTAGGATGAATTAGGTAGATATGCAAATAAATATATATTATTTGTATGTATGCAATATAAAGTATATCCGTTGGCAGAATGAGTAATTTTCTCTATTATAATTGCAAAAGGGACCATTGGCCCCTCTTTCTCTCTGTAAGCCCCGGCTCAGAATTATATATTTAGTTCGACTTTATTTATCGGAAATAGTAATATATTAATTATGCCGAGAAATATTAGTATTAGTCGCATAATTTATTATATTATAAGTCTAAGTCATGGAGAAACGTTCGAATTATTATTTCGGAAACGAGATAAAATTCATAAGTCTAAGTCTCGATTAATTATTTTTTTATCGAGTATCAAAAAAGTCAGAAATTTATTTAATTCCCGAGCGAGGCCAATTTCTGGGTCCATTTAAGTAGGCTATTTTTATTTCGGGAAATCAGCCTAATAATTTATTTTTTGGGCCCAACTATTTAATCGAGACAATTTAAGTCCTAGCCGAATTTATTTTAATTAGTCGGCCCATTTTTAATTCGAGTAGCCGAATTAAATTCCAAGACCAAGTGATATATTAAATAATCGAGCCCTCATAATATTTCAGTTATCGAGTCTAAGTCAATTTAAAAATCGAGCCCAAGACGATTGGGCCCGATTTTTAAAGTCCCAGAAGAGAAAACCCTAAGCTCACATGCCCATCTATAAATAGAAGTATCCTCATTCCCTTATCTCCCTCTACACAACACAAATCTTATCCAAACCCAAGAAATACTATTCATCATCTCCTCATTTTAAAGTTTAAGAAACCCTAGATCTACTACTATTCACCTTCTTCCTCAAGTTTTTCATTCACCATAGCAACCATGGCTTGAGCTCCAAACCTTCAAGATCCGGCCACCATCTTATTTTCCAGCGAACCCCGAGCTCCGGCGACCAAGCCCGCGCCGGCAGGCCTCAGCCGCTGGTAGAGCCCGCAACCCAGCTCATTTCCGAGCAGCTCTTTCACGCAGCAACCTTAGCC